CATTTGAGCCATTTCTTTCTTCTTTTTTTTATTGTTTTTATTGAGCTATATATTTTTCTCCACTCTAAAATTGACCAATTCCAGAGCAATATCCTCTGATAAAAGATCAGATAATTATACACAAACAAATCAAAAGAATGATAATTATGTTTACAAAAATAAAAGATGATATAAATAAATTTGAATGCATTACAAGAGAACAAAGACAACTGAATAGAGAACAGGGAAGCTAATACAGGATATGAGACTATAATTCAATAAAGACAAATATTTAAGAAACCCCAAATAAAATGATGGTGGAAATCAAAAATTCAACAAATCAAATGAAATCTTTTTAAGACAAAGTAGAAGAATTGGTACACTGAAAGAAAACAATAAAATTTTAAAAGTATGAACAGAACAGGGAAACTTTTTGGGACATATTGAAAAGCAAATCAACTGGAGATGTGGATCATTGAAAGCACACATGCCTAGCATGCATGAAGTCCTGAATCAATACTTAGGAATTTGAAGTAGAAGAAAGGGGAAAAAAAAAAAACAATAAATAAATAAATAGAAATAAATCAATGAATTATTGGCATGAAACTAAGAGGAAAATTTATTCTAAAGGAAGATAACTGTAGAAAGAAAAAAATCCCAAACCTAGAGAAACATGGGCTTATTCACATATAAAAAGCATTTTTAAAAGCAATTGGAAAAAGAAACCTCACGTTATACTACAGTTAAAACACTAAATATAAGTATATAAAGCGCTACAAATAGAAAACCATCAAGTCATAAAAAAACACAGACCCACACAATAACAAATGATCCCTAAACTGAAACATAGAAAGTCAGAAGAACATAGAAAGATGCAGTGCATATTCTGAAATACTACAAGAACCAACCAAGGCTACAATACCAAGTAAATCTGTCTATTATGACTGGGGGAGAAATTAAATATTAAATTCATAATAAAAACAGGCAAAAAGATCAATGAACATCAAGCCAACTCTACAGAGGATATAATAAGAAATTCTTCAGATTCAAGAGAGTGGTAAACACAACCACTAGAGACATCCAGAAGTTACAGGAGGAGAAAGATAATACATTTGTTAAAGAATCATTAGCAAAACAGTAAACACTACAAAATCAACAAAAGGAACACGCTTTTCAATAATAATTTCAAATATTATTTAGTCTCAATTTCCCAAAGGATAGACTAGCCAGCAGACTGTCTTAAAAAAGAAGGAAGGAAGGAGGGAGGGAGGGAGGGAGGGAGGGAGGAAAATCCATCTATTTGTCACTGGAAGAACCAGAAATGTCGGACATGACGTAACAGTGATTAACCCTAACACAGAAATACTGCATGATTTCACTACCAGTAGCTCTGGTAGTTCATTCCAACAAAAAATAGAGAAGCAGAGGCTTTAAATGGCATCACAAATCAAATGGTTTTAACAGGCATTTACAGAACATGCCACCCAAACACTGCAGAAAACACATTTGTCTCAGGATTACATGGAACTTTCTTTAAAAGAGATCATATACAAAGCAAGTCTCAACAAATACAGGAAAATTCAAATAACTTCTTGTATTCTGACTACAAATAATACAAATCAATTTCAAGAAAAAAACATAAAAAAACTCAAAGTCATGGGTATTAAAACAACACACTACTCAATGATGAAATGGAGATACTAAGGAAATCAAGAAAACTAAAAACAAAAAAAATACCTAGAATTAGAAGAAAATGAAGATACAACATGCCAAAATATCTCTAAAAATATGCATCACCCCTAGCCATTATGAAAATGCAAATCAATACTATTTTACAATTTCATCTTACATCAGTAAGAATGACAAACGAAGGTGGGTAGTGGTGGCACATGCCTTTAATCCCAGCACACGGGAGGCAGAGGTGGGTAGATCTCTGTGAGTTCGAGACCAGCCTGGTCTACAAGAGCTAGTTCCAGGGCAGGTTCCAAAGCTACAGAGAAACCCTGTCTCCCCCCCCCCCAAAAAAAAAAGAAGAAGAAGAATGGCAAACAACCATTGGAACAACAGGCAACAAATGCTAAAAAAGGTGTGAGGAAAAGGGAACCCTCATTCACTATTAGTGGGATTTCGAACTGGTGCAGTCACTGATTCACAATAGCTAGAAATAAGTCTACCATATGATTCAGACAAACCACTTCTCAATGTATGTTTAAAAGACTAAACATCATACTCCACCAATGCTAGCCCAGTCATGTTTACTGCTGCTCTATTCATAACAGCTAGGAAGAAGAATGAAAATGTGGTACATACGCACTACGGAATACTATTCAGTAGTAAAGAAAAACAAAATCATAAACTTTGCAGGCCAATGGATGGAATTAGAAAAGATAAATTAAGTGAGGTAATCCAGACACAAAAGACAGATGTCACATTTCCTTATTGGAGGTTCCTAGCTCCACATTTTAAGATATGAGTGCATAAAGAAACCAGTAATGTAAAAAGGGATCATTATTGGGTTATGGGAGTTGGGGAGCAATAGAGATGAGAATAGCAAAATAGAAGTAATCTGATCATGAAGAGGGAAAAGTACAGGCTCCTTGGAAAAACAGGAGATAGGAAAATACAGAAGGTGGGAAAAGAGTAAAAGGGAATGGCATGATACAAATGATCAGATAGGGGAAATGGAAAAGGTGGGGTACCTTAAGAAAAGAGGATGGAGGTAAATACATGGACAGAGGGAAGTAAAATAACAATGTGGCTGAAAAACTCACAAGATATCATAATACTAACTTACCTAGAAAAAAAATACTACAATGCACACAACTCAACGTACAAATTATAATTTTAATGAGTTTTTCTTTTTTGAGATGACGGAAATCCCTTCAAAGGCCAAAGACTACCTGAGAAAAACCCCAATACCAGACATGAGTAGCTTTCATTTATATTGCTGGCAAGGGCTATCTAAGAGAAACCCAAAACATACCACTTATTGCTTTTGCCCTTAGTTGACCTATAGTGATGGAAGGTAAATTTTTACTGCTGAAACATCATGCAATAATGACCAGAGGCCTTAGAGCTCAAACTGACCTGAATGTCACCTCCCTGAGGACAAGATTGCATGGTATCAGAAGGGGCCATGAAAGCTTCCAAAGGACAGAGACAATCAACAGTTCTATCAAACTATGATACTTATGAATTACATCAATGACCAACATGGCATAATAACCCTGCAGATGCAATAGCAGAACACACACCTTGATAGTAAACAACTGTTCTCTAACTGGACTAAAGACAAGAGAAAGACCATGCTTGGAATTAGAAACGATTACTCAGTGTTGGTGAAATCACGGTCATAGGAGGAGAATCTACAACCACTAATCTAGACAAGCAGAGTCCCTGACTATAATCTATAAACATTTGTCTTTCTGCCCACAGATAAATATAGTGTTTACCACTTATTGAGGAAACTTATCTATGCAATAGGCATTAATAGTATATAAAACTATAGCCATCTAAATGCAGATTTGTGGAGCCAGTCCCAATGGATACATCTACAAAACACTCCTACAGTGAAGACTCAGGAAACATTGCAGAAGATAGGGCAGAACTACTGTAAGAGCCAACTACTGTAAGAGCCAAAGGATCAGGGACACTGCTGTGAGATTGTTTCTCCTAGTAACATAAGAAGCTTTATCCATAAATTCTGAACAACATGACTGCCTAAACATGAGCTGAAGAAGGACACTAACACACATGCTAAACTGAATGGGAAAAGCAAAGTCCATGAGGCCTCCACTCTTCAAGAACTACAGCCAACTAAGGAAAGCTGAGAGTGGTGGAGGTGACCATCCACAGCAAAGAGTACACCAATTGGTTGCTCAGTGCCAAGAGTCAGCCCTGAAAACATACATACAAGTAATATTATATAGACTCAAATAGTTATATTTAAAAATATAAATGTATATAAAAAATACATATATGCATATAGTAACAACTGAAAAAAGAGGTCATGAATTTGAACAAGAAAAGGAAGGGATGTAAGGGAGGATGTGGATGGAAGAAAGAAAAGGAAAATGTTATGATAATATACAATCTCAATGAAAAGAAACACAGAAAGGAAAGAATAAACTGAGGAAGACACTAGCAGATGAAAGGACTTCCCATGCTTTACAGAACAGAAAAAGCAATATTCTGAAATGCAGTCTATATATTCAAAATTCCAATGCCATTGTTCACAGTATGAGAAAAAAATGTTAAAACGTTGCATAAAAAAACCAGAGAGTCAAAGTCACCTGAGCAAAAAGAGTAATGTCATAGGTATCAGCATATCTGATTTCAAGCAAAACACACCAAAAGTAATAAAAATGCATCAGTGCATCAGTATCAGGCTACCACAAAAGCAGGCAGGCTAATCAATGAAATGAAACAAAGAATCCAGATATAAATCCAAACAACTACAGCTGTATTAGTCAAAAGGATTAGAAGTTCAAGGTCATCCTCTGCTGAATAGCAAGTTTTAAGCTAGTCAAAACTATCTAAGACTCTGGCTCAGAAGACAGAAAGGGGTGAGGGAGATCTAGAAAGTGAATCAGTGGCTAATAGTGAATACTGATCTTTCAGGAGACCTGAGTTTGGTTCCCAATACTCATACAGAATGCTCACAACCACCTGGTACTTCAAATCCAAGGGCTCCAATGGCTCAAACCTCCTAAAGTATCTGCACAAATATGTATATCCTCAATCACAGGCACATATACATTCACATACTTTAAGGTAATAAAAATATATTTTAAAATAAACAGAAAAAAGAGAGCATCAGGGAAGGAAAGAAGAAAAAAAGAGGAAGAAAGAATCCGACTTGTGTTTTCTCTCATACTTGGAAAAAGTACTGACACCCAAAAGCTAATAAATAAAATACGATGAAAAAAGTAAGTACAATTGAATACTTCTTGTATAGCTAAAAATAATAAACAAAAGCAGTATCACCAATCTTTTAAAAACTACAACATAAATATATATACCTCATCATATATGCTTCCATTAATATCTGCTCCATAAATAGGTGCCACAAAAGTTAAGTTTTTCCAGTACTTGCGTTCCAAATCTTCATAATCCAAGTACCTTGGAGTACAGTATCTATGAAAAATTAAACAGTAAAAAACACAGACCAGTAAGACAATTTTAAGAATTTTCTACCCATCTAATGTAATTTACTTTCTAAATAAAACTATTATATACTGTAATAGTGTCAAATTTAATGAATAATATACAAAGCATTGATACTTAAAACTCTATAGGATTTTTTATATTCTTTATCAGGTAAGATAAGCACTTTCATAAAAATACTAATAAAGGAAGTAAATTATACCTCATTATTTTAGCTTTCAAAGTTTTCTAAAATACTTAGTCAATTATACAAGATCATTGTACAAAATTTATATATTAAAAAGATACAGAACATATGGAAAAACTGAGGGAAAAATGGCCTGTATAAAACTCCAAGAGAGCTGAAGTAAGATCCTCTGCAGTTATTAGACTGGTACTGCCTGGTATACTAATGACATGCAAAAAAGAAGTCACTAACATAGTTGGAGTGGAAGAATAAACTAGCACAATATAATTTCTCAACACGTATCAAGTCAAAAGTATATATATCATTGTGGGGCTGGAGAGATGGCTCAGGAGTTAAGAGCTACGGCTGCTCTTCCTCAGGACCTGGTTCAATTCCCAACTCTCACATGGCAGCTCACAACTATCTATGAATTCAGTTCTTTAATAAAGTATATATACAGGTTGGAAAGATGGCTCAGAAGTTAAGAGAGGTCCTGAGTTCAATTCCCAGTCACCACATGGTGGCTCACAACCATCTGTAATAAGATATGGTGCCCTCTTCTGGGCCTACAGAGATACATGAAGACAGAACACTATACACAATTAATAAATAAATCTTTTTTAAAAAAGTATATATCCTCTTGATCTAAAATTTATAAATGCATCTTAGTAACACTGAAATACAGAATGAGGAGCTATAGTGTAAGTAACTAGAAACACAATAGGTATGAATTATTTTCCTATAGTTGTGAGAAAAGCAACTTAAAGAAGAAAAGGTTCACTTTAACAATGAAGCTTGAGATGGCAAATCCATATGCATTTACATTCAGGAATCAAAAACTAATGCTAATTCTCAACTCTGCTCTCCTTTTCTTCTAATCTAGGATCCCAGCCCATGTAACTACTCTATCCAGTTAAGGTAGTCTTTCCATACCAATTACTCTAATATAAATAAACTCTCTCAGGTATGTCCAGAGGCTTATGATTCTAAATCCTGTTAATTTAACAATGAATATTAACTATCATGATTGACTAAACATGAAATAAGGTAGATCTTCTTTCTACTTAATGACATTAAAATACTTCCACACTAAACATATCAATAATCCCACCGATGTTTTTTTAAAAATAAAATCAAAAACAGAACTCTGGAGCTAGGAATATACACACCTAGCTCAAATGGAAAACTGCTTGTCTACCAGCCCAACTTACTTCTTTGGCTTATTTTTAAGATTTTTTTAAAAATTTTATTTATCAGTATCTGTGAATGCATGCCATGTATGTGTATGTGCTCTTGGAGTCTAGAAGAAGCTGCTGGATTCCCTGGAGCTAGAATTATAGGTAGTTGTCAGCCTCCCAGGATGGATGCAGGTCCTCTGAGAAAGCACTATAGAATCTGTCACTGTATAGGAATAGAATTTTTTTAACCTTGAATACGATAATTAAAAAGCTTAAGTTGGCATTATTAATTGAAGTGAATGTTTTACATCGTTAAGTATTTGAAACGCATATTGAAACTTCAGTAAAATGTAACAGAGCTTACTGAATACTGACTCCAGAGTCCATATAGCTGTTCCAAATGTCAATTTACTCAAAACTGACTCAACAATACCTTCTCAGAACCTTTCACTCACAGTAACATAGCTCTTTAAAGAGAGGCTCATGATGAGGTTTCTCCTGCCTTGGCAACCCTAGAATTGTACTTACAGGTAAGAGCCACCACTTGCATCAAAGTTTGCCAAGCAAAAATTAAATAATCCTGGGCAGAAAGCTGAATTTCTCTGGGGTTTAATTATTACTCTATAAAAGGGGTTTCATTTTTTTTTTTTTTTTTTTTTTGATTTTCGAGACAGGGTTTCTCCGTAGCTTTTGGTTCCTGTCCTGGAACTAGCTCTTGTAGACCAGGCTGGCCTCGAACTCACAGAGATCCGCCTGCCTCTGCCTCCCGAGTGCTGGGATTAAAGGTGTGTGCCACCACCGCCTAGCCTATAAAAGGGGTTTAATTATTACTCTATAAAATAGAGGTGATGTCTTTTGGACTAGACTGATCTCAGCCCCATTTGCTACCAGGGACTTTGTAGTCACCATGGCAGTCCCAGGAAGACTACCTATGGTCTCCTTGCCCTCATCCTCCATTCCAATTGCCTATGGCAAATCCAATCCTCAGCCCTTGTCTTGTTCACCAACCCTGTTCTCAGATCCATTCTTTTGAGTTACCTGAATCATACATAGCCAGTCTGTACCCTCTCCAGAGCTCCCCTCCCCCGTTAGTCTTCTCAGTCACTGCTTGTGCCTTTCCTAAATTGCAGGCTCAGTAAATGCCCCCACTCCTGTATACTATGTGTACTAGTTTAGTCTAGTGAGTTCCACCAGCCCACCAAGCTTCACCTAGCTACAACCTACACACATATACCAGATCACACATGTATACACAAGGATCTGGCCTGGTGAGTACATGAAACCTCATCTGCCTGTGTCATCCTCATCCCTCAGGCCTTGCCTCAGCCACACTGTCTGTATGTACATAGGCCTAATGAGGCAGTAAGAACCTCACATCAGATACACAACCAACCACATTGCCAGGTCACATCATAAAATCTCAATATGAAAAGTCAAGGCAATATATCTTCCCCCCGCCCAAATGCATCAGTCCTACAGACATGTTCTCCAATATGAATTCCCTACATGAACCCCAGGACACAGAACTTAAAATTTATCAAGTAACTTTAAAAAGACAGCTCAAACATAATAAGACTAGCAGTAAACACCTGAATGAAACAAGCATTTGTTCAAGAAACAAACATACAGCTGTATAAAATGAAGATACTTGAGAAATTAAAATATTTTGAAAATAATTAAGTTAGAAAAATCTAAATAAAATAAATGAATTTCTAGATCATCCAAACCACCAAAATCAAAACAAGAAGAGGTAAACAATATAAAAAGACACATGACAAACAAGATGATCAGTATTAAGTTTCATGCCTATCAATGGAATTTCTTTTTGTAGCAGGTGGACACAATTACAGATCACTACTGGTCAAAACATATGGACATCATAACAAAGGAACTTTAGAGGGCAACCTACTAGTGCCACTTTCCCCAACCAGCAAAACATCTAACTGTAACCTTCATACTTATCATTATACCTACAGGTATATATATTTGAGGTATATACATTCTATTATACATGTTGAGATATATACATGCATTAATTTGCTTCCTATTGTTATAATGGAAGCAAACACCATGGCCAACATAATTTTGCAAAAAAGGTTTTATTTGGTTCACATGTACCAATCATAGTCTATCACAGACAAAAGTCAACACAAAATTCAAGCACAGCAGGAACCTGGAGGCAGGAATAAAGCAAAAGCCATGGAAGAACATGGCTTACTGACTTGTTCCTCATAGCTTATTTACCCTGCTTCCTTATATAACCCAGAACCACCAGCCCAGGGGGGTGTTATTATCCACAGTGGACTGAGCCCTCCCACATCAACCATTGATCAAGATAATGCCCTGACGGATTTGTAATTTTTTTATTGATTGATTGATTTTATTAAGCTATACATTTTTCTCTGCTCCCCTCCCTTCATCTCCCCTCTCCCATGGGTCCCCATGCTCCCAATTTACTCAAGAGATCTTGTCTTTTTCTATTTCCCATGAAGATTAGATCCACGTATGTCTCTCTTAGTGTCCCCAAAAAAGTAAAAACTCGGGCTGGAGTGATGGCTCAGCGGTTAACAGCATTCATTGCCTGCTCTTCCAAAGGTCCTGAACCACATGGTGGCTCACAACCATCTGAAATGAAATCTGATGCCCTCTCTTCTGGCCTGCAGGCACACAGACAGAATATTGTATGCAAAATAAATAAATAAATAAAATTTTTTTTGAAAAATAAAAATTTATTCTCCTCCCCATTCAGTATAAGCTGCACCTATTGAATTTCTCTGGAGGAAGCCAATTGCCACTATCTAAGCATTCAAGAACACTGTCAATGAGGAAGCAGAAAGAATATAGGATCAGGAAAATGGAGAAGAAATAAAGACATGACATCCACTACTCAGGACATACCCATTTTAATTGTTAACTCACAGCTCCCGTGACTAGCAACTCTGCGTCTGCACAATATTAGACCTTTCAGCTGCCAGTCAAAGATAGGAGAATCTATTGGTTAATGAAAGATTTTGGAAAAAGGGCATCATTATCTTCAAATGTATAACCACAAGTGAGCCTATCAGACTCCACTGTTTATTTATAATACTATGATTTCTCAGACATCCCTGACTAAACTCAGCAGGTCAAAAAACAAAGCAAAAAGGCATGAACATGGGAAAGGGACCTAAAGGAGGAAAGGAGAATGAAATGGGTGTTAGGGAGATAAGAGGGTAGTGGATAAGGTACCAGAATACACTAAATACATGCATGAAATTGTCAAAGAATAAACCTAATAAAAAGCAAATATTAAACTCTAAAGGTACATATACATGCAAAAGTATTTAAGAGAAAAAGGACAATGTCTACAATGTACTATGAAGTGTATTTTTTTTTTATGAAGTGTATTTTTAAATATGTGAGTGAAGGCAGGTGTGGCAGCTCATGCCTTTAACCCCAGCACTCAGGAGGCAGAGGAAAAGGGATCTCTCTTAGTTTAACAGCAGCCTGGTCTATAAGGCAAGTTCCAGGACAACCAGGGCTACACACACACACACACATACATGCATAAATAAATAAATAAATAAATAAATAAATAAATAAAATAAAAATTTGTAAAGTTTCCCTTAAAGGACAAGCAGCAAGGACTTTAGTGTCATAGAAGGAGCTCACTTGGGAAAAATCTTTTAGCCACCTTCCCAAGCAGCAGCACTTCCAGTCAACAACTAACAATAAGCTTCAAAACACCCCAAGCTAAAATCACTTGTCCACATATCTACATGACTCCTAGGCTCCAGACTTTTATAAACTGTGAGCTAGCTGAAAAGGTTAATTTTGAGAATTTGTTATATATTCATAGATGACTAATATAATATGTACCTTCTTATTCATTCAAAGTTTTCTTTTTGAAATTGTTAATGCTCATGAAATTTTAGTCTTAAAAAATTATAAATATTTTGTCCAATAAAACTAATGACAATTCAAATAAAGAGAATTCAAAATGACAACTAAAAGGAAAAACCGTTTCTAGATTATGCGATAATAATGATGATGTGAAATAAAATGTGGGACTTCTTAGAAGTGAATGTGAATAGGCCATCTGAAAAACAGAAACCAGAGATAAAAGAGGTTCCTACTTTTCTTTCTTCTTTCTTTCCTTATTTATTTGTTTGTTTGTTTGTAGACAAGGTTTCTGAGTGTAGCTTTGGAGCCTGTCCTGGAATTCATTTTGTAGACCAGGCTGGCCTCAAACTCACAAATACACCTGCCTCTGCCTTCGAGTGCTGGGATTAAAGGTGTGCATCACCACGGCCCAGCTTTTAATTATAAGCTTCTCTATCTACTTGGCTTCCTGCCATACTCGCATACCTCTTTGGAAAAAATACAAATAAAAATTCAATTGACTCACTTGCTACTGTTAGCCAGCTGCCTGAACTCCTTCACAGTCATGGCTTTTTTCTGGATGTTGTATTGAGTAAACAGTCCCGACTGCCCTGTGACCATCTGCTGAATTGGTGCTGGGATAAGCAAATTATCAATATCATCATAGCATTGCCTTGGCTTCCACTCCTTAGGAGGAATCACCTAAAAACAAAACAAAATATTAACCTGAAACTCTTCAAAACTAAATATTACACATCTTTTATTTTTCAGAAAAACATAATTTAACATTTTCTCAACACCTCTTAAACAAAAGTACTTTTAAAACTCATTAAGACTTTGTAGTAAGGAAATATGATTCTTAACAAAATTCACTGAATACTCACTACACTCAAAACTATACTTGTATTACCTCATTTTCAGTGGTACTATTAACAACTGATTTTAATTTGTAAGATTTTAAAACATACAGAAAGACTGAGGGTGAAAGAGTTAATGATAGAGAGGCTAGGATGTTAGCTGAAACACCATGACACCAAAACAATGAACCACTGTGCCATCTCTCAACAGAAGTTGAAATGTTGATGGGCCTCAAAGAAGTTTATCTTTACTAAATTTTATCTAAGTGTCTCTTTTTTATGTGATTTTATGTGACACATATCAGTAAATATTTGCTTAGTCAATATTTCCTCTTTAGAACTCTTTTGCAATATAGCATATAACAGGGTTGCTGTAGTCATTTAGAGGAACTTCCACGTCTGGTGTCTTGCATGGACAAAGACAAACCAAAAGCTTTATCCCTTCTGAATGTGAGAGGCCTAAGGTTGGATGCTAGCCTGCGTATTTTACAGGGACCCTGTGTCTTCCCCTTTCCACTATTGGTTCTATTTAGATACCAACCCCTGCGCCTTCCCAAAGGTTCTCGAGATATTTTCCGTAATGTCTTCTGGTAACAAGAAGCAATCACTGCAGTGAGGTTGCTTTCACTTTCTTTGCCTATGTCCATCCAACTCCTCTTCACTGTCAAAAAATATGGTTGCAAATTGCTGTGGGATCCTGTACACTGTGAATATGTTGCTCTCATTGGTTGATAAACAAAACTGCTTTGGTATATGGCAAGGCAGGATGGCGCTAGGGGAGAAATCCAATTAGAGATACAGGAGAAGAGTGAAATCTAAGAGATACCAGCCAGCTGCCAAGGAGGCAAGACATGTAAAAAATGATGTAACAAGGCACGAAACACATGGTAAAGCATAGATAAGAAATATGTGTTAATTTAAATGTAAGAGTTAGCTAATAATAAACCTGAGCCAGCAGCCAAAGATTTATAAGTATTATTAAGCCTCTGAGTGGCTATTTGGGAACTGGCAGGAGGGAAAGAAACCTCAGTTTACAGCAAACTAATAAATGTCTAAAAGCCAATTATCTAGGAAGATGAGGAAAAGCTTGATTTGTAGTCTTTGCCTACTTCCATGGTATGCCTCTTCCAACAAGGGCAGTACCTTTTGTTTTGTTTTTCTCATGTTTTCAGACAAGTTCTCATGCAACCCAAAACCACCTGTGAATTTGCTATAGAGTTAAAAATGACCTGGAACTCCTGTTGTTGCCTCCTAAATGCTGGAATTACATTCATGCACCAGCATACTTAGAAAATTCTTAAAGTATTTTAAAATTGAAAGAAAATAAAAATGAATTATTAGGAGCCAAACCAAAGAGGACTCACTAACCCAGGAATAAGAAAAAGAATGTTGTTAGCACCTCTTCCAAATAGGTCTATTTTTATTTAAGAGGTAATGACTATGGAATTTATTGATAATAAAATTTAGTTTTGTATGTGGCCATGTACTCTTAAATACTAGGCTTTGGCCAGGCGGTGGTGGCGCACGCCTTTAATCCCAGCACTCGGGAGGCAGAGGCAGGTGGATCTCTATGAGTTTGAGGCCAGCCTGGTCTACAAGAGCTAGTTCAAGGACAGGAACCAAAAAGCTATGGAGAAACCCTGTCTCGAAAATCCAAAAAAAGAAAAAGAAAAAAAAATTAGGCATTGTTTTATTTAGAATATGTAGCATCCATATATTTTTGTGTTTGTGCATATGCATTAGGATACACATGCATGTGTATGTAGAGACCAGAGAATGATATCAAATGTCTTCCTCTATTCCTATCTACCTTATTTTATTTTATTTTGAGACAGAGTCTCTCACTGAGCCCAAAGTTCCTCTCTTCACCCTCTGAAGACACTTGAAAATAACACAGCATATAATCACACATATACAAACACAAACATGAATAAAAATAAATCTTAAAAGAATAAGAGATAAGACGTATGCACAAAGCCTGGGGCTCTACCTCAAGTAACAGGGACGCCTGACGTGGTAGTAAATGCCTATAGACAATAGAAGCATTCTTGGTTACAAAGCAAGGTCAAGGCCAGCCTGGGATACAAGAGACTAGGCCTCAAAAAAAAAAAAAAACATAAAGAATAGGGGGTTGAGCCAGGCGGTGGTGGCACATGCCTTTAATCCCAGCACTTGGGAGGCAGAGGCAGGCGGATCTCTGTAAATTCAAGACTAGCCTGGTCTACAAGAGCAGGCTCCAAGCTACAGAGAAACCCTGTCTTGAAAAATCAAAGGAGGAGGAGGAGGAGGAGAAGGAGAAGAAGAAACAAAGAAGAATAGGGGCATGAGAAATAGCTCAGTGGCAAAGAGCATTTACTGCTCTTGCAGAAGACTGACTGGGGTTAGGGCCCCATCACCCAATAGCAGGCCAAAACTTCCTGTAACTTAAGTTTCAGGGGATTTAATGCCCTCCTACACACAAGTGGTCCATATATACTCAAGCCACTACCTGAGTTTCATCCCTGGAATTCTTGAAGGAAAGAGAAAAATGACTTCTAAAAGTTGTCTAACCTCTGCATACACCAACACTCATACACACACACACACACACACACTCTCTCTCTCTCTCTCTCTCTCTCTCTCTCTTTCTGTCTCTCTCTCTCTCTCTCATGTAATCATAAAATAATAAAATGATTATTTCAAAAAATAAAAATAAGTATGTCGGGCATGATAGTGCATGCATATAATCCCAGCAGAGGCAGGTGATTCTCTGTGAGTTTGAGGCCAGAATGGTCTACAATCCTGGACAGCCAAGGCTGTTATACAGAAAAAACCTGTCTTGGGGTGGGGTTGGGAAAATAAATTTAAAAATAAAAAAGTAATTGGTTCCTAGGAATATTTAAATATTTATATTTTTCTTAAAAGTTTATTTTTTAATATTTATTTTATTTTATGGGTGTGTATTACCTGCATGTATGTATGTGTACCACATGAATGTCTGATGTCCTTGGGGTTATGAAGCATTGTATACTATCATGGGTATCCCGGGAACTAAACCAGGTCCTCTGCAAGAACAGCAAGTGCTCTTACTTACTAAAACACCTCTCTAGGCCCCCAGGAATATTCTGAAACAAATTTCTAAAGATAGAACAGAGCATAAAATAAAATCATTACAAATTTAAGCCTATCAGTAAGATCTCTATAAATCTGACGTCAGCCTGGTCTATATCATGAGTTCTAGGCCAGTTGAGTATACACAATAAGACTCCGTACTAAATAGAAAAAATAAATAATGGAAGGAAGGAAAACAGACAAAACAAAGCCAGTAACAAACATTTTCTTTTGAACTAATTTTAAATTTTATCTTATTTTAGTTTATTGATATGCATGGGGTAAGGACAATGGCATACAAACAGAGATGAGAAGACAACTTTCAGGAGCTGGTTCTTTCCCTCCACTACTGGTAGGATCCAGAGACTGAAGAAGAATCAGTAGGTAATCAGGTTCATGAGGGAAGTGCTTTACCTATTGAGCTCACACACCAATTCCATTTTAAATCTTTAAGTGTTAAATTACTTCACACAATTAGAAATCAAGTACAAAATATCTGGTTATTAAACAATTTCAAAGTTAACACCTTTACATTTAATGAGCTAAAGTAAAAGAAACCTATTCTGCTGTACTTCTACAAACTGTATATATTCACTTTCTTAAGTATACCAATACCAAAACAGAATATACATTTATATCACTGCTTATCCAAACCCAGACATTTCAAGATAAAATATGTATGCCTACTATATATGTTGAAACCAGATGCTGTCTACAAACTGTCAAAGGAAGAACAATGCTTCTTCTGTCTTCATCTTGCAGCCACAAACTGGTGTTTATGAAACACACAGTGTGGATAACATTCTCTAGTGCAACCTATGTACCAGAAGTACTACAGGGACAAATGCCATACATTTCACATATTTTTAGAAGTTCATCATGATACTCCTACAATAAAACATTTTATACTTAAGGAGATTTTCAATTTCCCAACTTGAAAATCAAGTGTGCAGACAATCAAGGTTATTTGATACCAATGCTATGCATGGTATCATGCCAGTACCCGGAATGCTGGAATAATGAGGAATAATTAAAAGTTAAAGTCAGCCAATATTATATAACAGAAATTTAACAAAAACAAAACAAAAACAAAAACAAAGAAAAAAAGGTGGGACTAAAGAGATGGCTCAGTGGTAAAGAGCACTGACTGCTTCCAGAGGATCCAAAGTACCCACTTGGTAACTCATAACTGTCTACAATTCCAGTTCCAGGGGAACATGGCAAAACACCAACACACATTAACAACAATAACAAAAAAAAAATGTAAGCCTAAATCTAAAAAGTGTTAGAGAGCCGGGCAGTGGGGGCGCACGCCTTTAATCCCAGCACTCGGGAGGCAGAGGCAGGCGGATCTCTGTGAGTTCGAGACCAGCCTGGTCTACAGAGCTAGTTCCAGGACAGGCTCCAAAGCCACAGAGAAACCCTGTCTCGAAAAACCAAAAAATAAAAAAATTAAAAAAAAATTAAAAAGTGTTAGAGAAAAAACAAAATTAGATACCTGAAATCAAAATCACTACTACTGGAAGTACTCAGCTATTGCTTTCAAATAGTTAAGGTGAATCCATTTAATGTTGTTAAAAGTACATTAAGAAAGAACCTCAGTGTGCCTTTGTCCCCCCAGGGTAAGGCCCAAAGAAAAACATGTACATCTGTGTAATCTAGTTTTTTATCATGTAATTTGGTTTATTGGCATTCTGTACACTTCAAATTACTTCAACCTCCAGAACAAGAATGCGATTAGTCTAAACATAATTTATGTGAAAATGAAAATACAACAGAAATGATTTTAAAAGCAGTTCAACTGTCATCCTAGTATAATATGACATTATTATAAAACATTGTTAATGAGCCTCAGGTTGAGGGAGGTATAGACAGGGCCCAGGTGTGTTCGTAATTCTAATTAACTTTATTCTGTTACATACTGTCAGAAGCTTCATAGGTGTACTCAGTGTGCCTGCTGCTCCCTTATAAGGGTCGCTGCTGTTTCCTCTTCCTTACTTAAACATGTGACCTTACTACTGAACAGAATACTAAACTCAGCTGACCAAGGGATGTTTTAAGTAACAAAAAGAGAGAAAACAAAACAAAGGGCTTCATTAAAAAGTCAAATAACGAACATAGTGTGGTGACACACAATCTAGCACTCAGAGATGGAGGCAGAAGGTCCAGGGAAGTTCAGAGGTCTCCAGGATATCTGAAATATATGATCTGTGTCTCAGAAAGAAAAAAGATTAGATGGTAGGTTTGAAAGTAGGAAAGGAGGATGGATAGATAGATAGATAGATAGATAGATAGATAGATAGATAGATGATAGATGGATCAATAGACAGACAGATCTGGCAAGAAAGGAAGGAGTGATCTCCAGCTTTTCTCGACGCAAATAAAGTCAAACTCTTGATAACCCATTACATATCATTACATATTCATGTGTTCCAAATGATTCTGAAAATATAGCACCTGCTCAAAAGAAGAATGATCAACCCACCTTTACCTCAAATGGTAATCTGGAAGTCCTGAGATGCAAAAACTGAAAAATCAAATTCTAAGCAACGTTTACATTTACTTATTCTATATATTGGTGAATGGAAAGCATGGGAAATGTGCACATGCCACATAGCATAAATGTGGAAGTCAGAGGACAGCTACTGGCAGCAGTCACATAACAAATAACATAATGACTTTTGGGAACAAAATACTACCAACAATGAAGAACTGGTTTATAAACAGCCTCCTCAAATATGGATCAGGTCATTCTGTATTCTAATACTTGCAGTCCTGAGGTTCTCTGTTCAGCTACCAATTGTTGTCCACAACATTTGACCTACAGAACAGATATGGGAAGTCCAGAAAAAAATGGTTTCCATAATTTCAATGAAATGGGTCAGCCTACCAAAAGGCTCTGCCAGTCTCAAGCATTTATATAATGAAATAACTGTCTATAGAAAAACAAATCACAAATAATATCTATACATTAACAAACTGACCTGCAATTAAAACAAACAAAAAAGTACTCTAGGAAAAGTTTCCAATTAAGATATGTTGTGGATTATTACTTTATCTATATAAAGATGTGTTAGATTTGTTTACATTGTATTTGCTTAACAATGTTAAGGTGTTGTCTTGTCTACCTAAGGCACCTGATTGGTCTAATAAGAAGCTAAATGGCTAGGCATAAGAAGGATAGGCAGAGTTGGTGGGCTGAGAGAAGGAGGAGAGAAAAGAGAATGAGGGAGAAAAAAAAGAGGGAGATATTCAGGGCCAGTCACTAGCCAGCAAGATACAGATTAGCACATACAGAATGAATGAAAATTAAAAAGCCCAGAGGCAAAACATAGAAGAGAAACAGGTTAAATTAAGTTATAAGAGCTAGCAAGAAATGAGCCTAGGCTAAGGCCAAGCATTTATAAATAATAAAAAGTCTCCATGTCATGATCTGGGAGCTGGTTGGTGATCTAAAAGAAAGCCTGCTACACAGATACATTTTCATTATATTCTGGAAGGCTACATCTCCTGAGACAGTAGCTCCTTCAAAGCTCTAAATATAATTTATGATCTAAACCTGCAACATAGTCTTTAGCACCTTGATGAACATTCCTATGACCCTAAGCACATTATTTATAATTATTTTTAAAGATATAATTACATATCTTTAAGAACAAGAATAAATGAACATCCTCACAGATCATTTTTCATTTTAACTGTCCTAAGCTACCAAGAGCTCCAGATAAGCACACTATTCCCAGTAAGACTTCTTGTGGATATTTGCCCTGAACATCAAACTCATTTTTACATAGAAGCCAGTTTTTCAAACATTGTCTCAACTCAACATAGCAAAAGAACACTACAAGAAAACATTTATTACATCTTCCTTCCCAACTTTAATGGTTAACATTGATTGACAACTTGACAGAAATCACCTAGGAGACTGACCTAGATTGTGTCCCTAGACTGGGACTACAGAGATGTGTAGTCCCACCTCAAGTGTGGCTCAGATTTTGAACTTTACAAAAAGTAGAAAACAATCTGAACAACAATATTCATCTCTCCCTGCTTCCATAATGTAGATGCAATGTGACCAGCTGCCTGATGTCCAGGCTACCATGATGTATCCTAAAACTGAGCATTCTAAAACTGAGTATCCTAAAACTGAGCCAAAAACCATTCATTCATGAAAATGTTTTGTCACACTAAGCATAACTGTAAGCCCATCTTCACTTCTCATTGCAGTTTATTCTTATTTATTCTGATGTTTATTCTTATTAAACTTGGTGGGGTGTGGTTCCAACACTTAGCAAGTTTGAATCCAGCCTTGGCTACCTGTTGTGGAATATTATTTTGTGGTACTTTACATTTGTTTATGTTGTGGAACATTTGTTTGATGATGCAAAGATGTGTTGCATTGTTTTATGTTGCATTTCTTCACCTCTGTAAAAATGTGTTACTTTGCCTGTCTAAAACACCTGATTTATCATCTAATTAGCAGCTGAAGGGCAAATAGCAAGGCAGGAGAAAGGATAGATACAGCTGGCAGTCAGAATAAATAGAAGGAGAAAAAGCAGGACAGAAAAGAAAGAAGATCAAGGAGCAAGAAAAAAGGGCTAGTTACACAGCCAAACACAGAATAAGAAGGAAAGAAAAGATATACAGAAATAGAAAAGAACAAAAGCCCAGAGTCAAAAGGTAGATGGGATAATTTAAGTTATGACAAGATGGCTAGAAATAAGCCAAGCTAGGGCAAAGCATTTATAAGAAAGAATAAGACTTTATGTATTTATTTATTTGGTAGCTGGGTGGAATGTCCCCAAAAAAGCCAAAAGGAGCAAAGAGTAAGAACAAGTTACAACAGAAGTGAGCTACAGAAATGGATCGCTAAAAGCACTTGCTGCTCAATCATGATGACCAGAATTACAATTCTAGGACCCATATTGGGTAGCTGATAACACTCATAACTCCAACTCCAAATGATCCAAAGTTCTTTGTAGCTTACATAGCCAGTTAGTGGAAGTCAGAGGACAACCTAGGATGTGTATCCTCACCTCCTACCTATACTCTTTCGATACAGTGGTCTTCTATGCCAGTCCAGATGGCCCACAAGCTTTTGAGGATCTTCCTGTCTTTATTTGCCACAGGAGGGCTGGGATTACAATAGACATCCTACTGGGTTCTGGGGATTGAACTTAGGTCCTCACAACTTGGGTGGCAAATGTTTTACCTACTGAGCCACGGTTTCCCAGCCTAGATTCTTTCACTCTTAATATTTTTATCTCTAAAATAGAACCTTAATGGAGGCAAAGACTTGGTCCACTCTGTCTGTGTGCCCTCCACCAACACACTCTGGTACACAACAAGCACTTCACACTTGAACAAACAAAATAGCTAAGGTCTGGTGATATAGCTCAGTGGTAAAAACGTTTGCTATAGAAGCCTGACAATCAAGACTGAACTATATCAAGGTAGCAAGAGAAAACCAACTCTAAAGTTGTCCTTAGCCTCCATAGATGGGTTGTGGTATATGTCAGTCCCAGACATCATACACCCACACCACATACAGTTTGATTTTAAAAAAAAAAAATAGGTAAAAAGGCAACTTGATAAAGAACACAGACTGTGGTTGCCTACGGGTGCAGTGACACTAGGAAACTGAAAATAACTATTTAAAATATATAGTTTCTGTTTGTGATGATGATAGGGTGGTGACCACTACACATCTAAGTGAATAAACAAACAAGAAACACTGAATTACAAACTATAAATGAAGACACTGTATCTTACGTAAGTTACACTTCTACAAATTGTTGTTTTAAAGTGAGACAGGCATGGTAGGCAAGACTTATAATCCCATCATTTGGGAGGCCATGAAAGGACGGCCATGATTCAAAACAGTAAAACAAATAAAAAGAAAAAGTAGAAGCAAGGAACGGAACACAGAAAAGGAATCACCTTAACCTTCAATTTAATAGATGTTTTCTATGAGAAATAGATGAAAACTGATACATTCACACCTCTGGAAGCCTTGTCTTAAAAAAAAAAAACGAAAGAGAGAGAGAGAGAAGACAAGCGGGAGGAGGAAGAGGAAAAGAAGAAACCACTATAGAACACACCCTAGCATTAAAAAAAAAAAAATCCAAAGAGAAGTAAGATAAATAAATATTCTTTAAGAAAATTAAGTGTTCCAGTTGGATTAACAAGCATAGCAGACACATTTCACTGAAAGAAACAAATAACAACAACAAAACTAAAAATATAATTTAAACTCAAATGATACTTTTTTTGTGACTAGTCTGAGTAATCACCTTCGCAAGACCTGCTCGGTGAGCTCCTTTAGACTCCATGTATGCGAGGTATTTGTTGAACTCCCGGAACTCCTCCATGGAAGGTCTGAAAGTCATTATCTTACAGCTGGGATTCAGAGGACTCTCCACCTCCACCACCTCCATGATGGCTACAGATGTCTCTGCAGAGAAAATGTGACTATTAACAACGAATTACTGAAGTTGTGCTTACCAGTGGCCTTCACCAGCATAGCATGTGTCTACCAAAGGAAAAGGAACTCTTCTTTTAGTTATTGTCCATTCCTTCCCACCTCTCTGAGACTTTCAGGTCTTTTCCTGGCCTCAGTTGGCTGCCAGACATGTTCCTATCCTGGGTATAGAATCACAGACCTGACTATACTGCTGACCTCAATGAAACCTTTCCAAGTAAAAATGAATTTTCTGGAAGTGCAGTCTCTCACAGATATACAAGTTCCACTATCTTACTCACACATGCACATATATAAAAGCCTAGGATGTACACTGCACGGAAAATGTTCATCATACGTAGCACAGAGCTGAAGTATGCTTTCACCTTTTTATAGCATGCTTTTCTATGATCATTTATAAACCAATCACATGACAAAACCACTAGAAACTAGGCTAAAGTACTGAGGACAGAAAATAGGAATAGGAGCACCAGAGGAGCTTACTCCGCTAAGAAGGGACATTTATTGTGCAAAAATTAAGTCCTGAATTCAAACTCTGGCATCCATGTTAAAAGTCAAACATGGCATGTTTTGTAACCCCAGCATTGTGGGAGAAGGCAGGGATAGAAGGATCAAAGGATTTACTGGCTGCCAGCCTAACTCCAGGTTCAGCTAAGAGATCCTGTTTCAAGGAAATAAGGTGGAACATATTATCGCAAGACACCTGATGTCCTTCTATCTGGTCCCTTTCTTTGTATAGTCACACAAACTCTTACAAACACCACATGCATATAAATACATAACACGCACAATAAAAAATAATTAATCGCAAGACTTTCATTTTATATAGCAAACTTATAATTCTTTAGGAGTCCTTGCAAAACAATCATGGACTCATCCCAGGCATCCACAGAATACTGGACCCTTTCCACAGGAAATCAGAATTCAAAGATATTCAAATCGGTCACATAAAGTTGCTTACTGCTTGCATATAACCTACATACATCTTCTCTACCCTTTAAATCATTTCTAATACTACCTAATATAATGTAAAGGCTAAATGACTAAAGCAACTTGGAGAGAAAAGGATTTATTTGGCCTATACTTCCATATCACAATTCATCATCAAATGAAGTCAGGATAGTATTTCAAACCAGGCAGGAACCTGAGGCAGGAGCTGAAGCAGAAGCCATTGAGGAGTTCAGCCGGCATTTTTATAGAACCATGGACCACCAGCCCAGTCACGACAACAATGACAATGGGCTGGGCCCTCTGCCATCAATCACTAATTAAGAAATGCCCCACAGGCTTGGCTACAGCCAACCTTATGGAGACATGTTCTTGAGGCTCACTCCCTTAGCCTGTGTCAAGTTGATATAGAACTTTCCAGCACGGGGAATAAACTTAAATGCAAATACAATTTTTCTTTTTGAGACCTCTAATAAAACCCTGACTGGCCTTGAATTTGTTATGTAGTTAAAAATGACCTTGATCATCTGATCCACATGCCTACACCTCCCACACTGTAGGATTAAAGGCATGTGCACACAAGGTTTATGTAGTAATAGGAATCAAACACAAAGCCTCTAGGCAAATACTCCATCAACTAAGCTACATTCTTAGTCTAGTCAGATGTAAATTTTTACAAACCCTTTGTAGTTTCAATTCATTGATCCAGAAATCTCAAATACAGAAAGCCAAATGTACTTTACCCTCTAACAGTATTTAACCTAACCTTCTCAAACAAGCTAAACACGTGACTTTAAATATTCCTCCCCTTGAAGTAGCCTGTCTGCTTCCTTTTTTTGGTAATACAGCACTGTCCAATATAGGACTCAATGGGCCACCCCCTGCTCCATCTCCTTGTCTACACACACGCTATACACAGCAGCTGCCTCTCCCAATGCTGGCACTCTCCCACTAGCCATTGAGCTATCAAGTCCTGAAAAGAAAGGCATGCTGGAAATATCAGGAGACTGGAGAGGAAGCTCAGAAGTTAACAGCACTTGCTATTCTTACATAGGACCCTGGTTCAAATCTCAGCACCCACACAATGGCTAACAACCATCTGTAGGAATGTATGTGATATATACACATACATACATACATACATACATATATATATACACACCCCATATATATATATATATACTCTTACAAATGAAATAAATCAGAAAAAAGAAGTGTCAAATATTAAAAAGTCTTTACATAAAATGGCACATTTGGGAAAAGGAAAACAATTGTTCTAAACAAGAGAAAAGTTACTCAGAAAACAGATTAGCCAAGGGTGATAGAATACACCTATAATCTTGGTACTTGAAAGGCAGGCAGAGGGAAGAGGATTCACACTTCAAAAGTCAGCCTGTTTTATATACCAAATTCTAGGTGAGGCAGCTACACAGTCCTATCTCAAAAACAAAAAGCAAAACAACAAACAAGACTCATTTGCTTCACTAGCAAAATAAACAAATAAATAAATAAATGCCAGCAGAAAACTCTAAGCAGCCTACAAAATATTTGTGTCAAAACATACTTGGTACATGAAATGAAACATTCCTTTTCTTTTGACCAAAGTACAGGAGTAGCCTTGATATTTCTCTGAGCAGAGGTAGCAGTCACTGAAGAAACTGAAAATACAGCTAGCCATTAAACAAACTTTAGTTCCACAAGCATTCAGAGTACAGAACAGTCCTGTCACTAATGGAATAACACACACAATAAGTAAATAATGTTAATGCAAAAAATGCACATCTCATTTTAAGAAAAGAAAAAAAAAAAAGCAGTTTTCATCCTAAGGAGAATAAGAGAGAGCAAGAGATGGCTTATTCTGAAGCAATTTTGACTGGTTTTGTCCCAGGGAAGCACAGATTTAAGTTACTCCAAATTCCATGGTCCAACATGGAAGCAGTTTCATGGAGTCTTATAGTTTTACAGAACAAAGACTTATAAATCAAGGCAAGTTGAAAACAAATTGGTGGGATTTGCTAACATTCTTATCCATTAATTAGAGGAAACTAAGTTAACAGATTCCAAAAGGTTTTTAATTACTAGTCACAAGATGTTAGTTCTGGTACAAATGGCTACTGGGTGCAGAGGACTCCACAATAAGGGAGCTGCTACCCTCTAGACCTGCAACATTCCAACCTCTCTACAGCATTGAAATTCTAATCAGTCAGTCTCCGCAGACAAAGCTGCTTTTCAGGCATTCTGATTTACAATAGTAAGTACTAAGGAGATGCCTGCAAGGATAGTTCCTGTCTCAATGGAGGAAAAAGAAGGCCTTTCAGAAAAATAAAACTCAGGAGATGCCTGAAAAAGAGAAATAAATAGGTATGTATATGGAAGATAGCTATTTCAGACAAAGGAGAGTCTCCTTAGGCTCTTTTCTTTAAGAGATAGTAAGGAGGCAAATATAATTAAAAGCAAGACAGAGAGGGTGAAAAAGAAAAGACTAGAAAAGGAAATTTGCAGTTTATCTTAGTATGCCAGGAAATAATTTTGGACTTCTTCCCTTTAACCTTTGCAGTTCCCAAACCCAAACGTCTTTTCATACCATTCACTGAATAATAGCTCTCTAAGGTTACCTATTCTGGAAAAAGTGAGGTAGAAAAGTGATCTCAGTCACATTTTGATTTCTTATTACTGTATAAGAAAAAAGAATGAAAGAAAAAAAGAAGTGAAATAAAGAGAGGCTGAAGGAGGGGGAGCACAAAGGAGACAATTTATCAAAATCCAGGTGAGAAAGAATAAAGGCTTGTATACATGGTGGGCAGTGAGATGCAAGTAGGTTGCCTATTAGGTACAATCTGACGAAAATTCCATGACAAAATGGAAAAAGGAATAAAAGTCAACATTTCTGGAGATGTAGCTCAATGAGGTAAGATACTTGCCTAGCATTCACCAGGATTGAGCCCCAGCACTGGTTGGGGAGCGGGGCGGGTTGGGGGGTGAAGGGAGTAGCTCTGGACATTAGCAATAATTCCAATACCTAAAGCACTCTGGAGGCTGAGGCGGGACAATCATCAATTCAAGACCATCTAGACTGTAAAGCAAAACCATGCCTGGAAAAAAAAAAAACAAAGACAATGGAGAGGGGTACAAGTACAGTAGGACACTGCTATATTCCCTGCACTAGGGAAAATGAGGCAGGAAAATCACAAGTTCAAGATCAGCCTGAGATACACTGAGTTCAAGATCAATATGGACAATAAGACCCTGTCTTCGGAAAACTGGAGAACAAGAAGGGCCAGGCCTATAACCTCACCTACTCTGGAGACTTAAGCAGGAGTTGGAAGCTACGTAGTTAGTGGGCTGTATAGTGAGTGCCACAGTAGCCTGTGTCCCACAGAAAGACAGAACCCTCGCACAAATTGCTTCAACATAAGAATATAAAATTTGGGGTAATCTAAATCTGTGGTCACTCAAAATGGCTACAGAATAAACTACCTCTTATTCCCTTTAAAATGAAAATTGTCGGCTTTTGCCTCGACGGCATCCCATATCCAATAAATGTTTTAGAACAATGTACATATTACTCTTTTTTAATGTATATAGAATATACCACCCAGCAAAAATTAACAGTACAAATAATGGGCCTTTATCCCATTTGCAATCACTACTGCAAAATCTCATATATATTAATCAATAGATTCATCCAAATAAAAGAAGCTATTTGACATATACTTCACTCTTAGACACTAAATTCTGTTCTCTAACAATTAGTTTAATTTCATTATCAAAAAATTTCATGTAAACAACTAATAGTAATCTCATGATACCATACCCTAAAAAACTCTAGAAGACACGAGACTCAAAAGAATTTTTTGATTAATTCATGGCTAAACTAAAATATCAAAGTTATTAGAAGTTATAGGAAGTAAAATTGAATAAACAAACAAAAAAAGAGGATGGAAAGATGGCTCAATAGTTAAGAGTACTGACGGCTCTTCCGGATAGCCCAGGTTCAATTCCCAGCACCCACACAGAAATTCATG